CATATCAACATCCCACGCTCATTACCAATGATCGGTGAATCACGGGATCTCCACCATGACTGCAACATCATGCAACTTTGCATTACCCCATATGCAAGACAATGCCCTTCTCCAATTCTCTCTTCTCCCCAATTTCCGGCAATCCAATGAAAATATTCCAAATCAATTGATGGATGAATAAAATAAAATGAGAATTTACCTGATTTACTGAAATAACGACATATCCTTGTTTTCAGCGGCTTTGGAGGATGAGGTTCGAGAGCTTGTGAGGCGGAATCATGTTCGTTTGTAATATCTGCCAACGCATCAGTTCAATTGAAGCAAGCAGATGACCCTAGGCAGAAAGCCATGATATGCACTACAACCCGGGTTTTAAGGTTGATGCATAAGGGGAAGATAGGGAAAATCAAGCAAAGATGAAGGCGGTGAATCTGTAAATAGAGCTTCTGACCTGTTGAATTTGAAAGATTGGATGTCATGGTATCTAAAGATTGAGGAGGTATTGATGAGCTGGGCATAAGAGGTCTCGGAGGGTTGTCACGAATAGGTATAGAATGATGTTGAAAAGACGGTATGGAATGTTGATCTAGATAACGAAATACGACTTTTTGGTGTATGATGGGTGAAGTTAATTGAGTCGATTGTCAGCAAGGTTTTCGTATAATCAGTCGGTAAGAAAGAATCGCAGATGATATGTTTTCTTCGTTGTGCGTTGTTGATGTTCTTGTCTGTTGATGTTGACAGTGATATTGATGTTCTTTTTTTGATATCACGGGGAACCCGAAGGATTTGATACCGAGTGGTGGCCAATTTATCAAAGTGGAAATCTTCATGAGAATGAGTCGAAATCAGCCACTCTGACAACGTTATGTAACAATGACTCCAACATGCCTCGGATTTGAGTCATTCATTGTTTACAATTGAATAGAGTTTTTCGATATCAATAATAATAATAAAATCATTATTTATTTTTATTATAATTTCTTTATTTATTTTTATCCGAGTATTTCTATTTCTATTTCTATTTTTGTATTTCATTATTTCCAACTCTGTTATTGATTCAACTCAATTTAATAACTTTATTCCTTTTTCTCATAATGTTTCATCTACCACACACACCCTCCATTATACAATCGGGACATAGAGCCGATGTCGTCACTCCCCAACATACAAGCATGCAAGCATAGTTGAAAATTTTCTTGATTGATCAACATAAAGATTGATAGAAAGGTCGAGACCATCGAAAAAAACAAACAACCCTTGAAGCTATCCTTATCATCTCTTCATCTCATTCATCAGTCAGCACACGAGGAGATTAACAAATTGATATATCAACATATTCACAAGTCAATACATCAATATGCTAGACATCGAGATCGACAATCTACTCGGGCTCCTTTACCGAGTCGGTACTCTCACATGTTATAGTTAACATGCTCGACATAGTATCAGTATATTGATATCTTCAAACTAACATTCTCTTACCATTCTATTTGAAGATTGGGCATGACTTACCTAAGTTTTTCTAATCAACGTCCGCAGACACGAGCAAGCCATTCCCCCATTCCCCCACTTTGTTACTCATTGCAGTCTTCTACCTGGTGGCGTATGTATGAAGGTTACTTTACCATCAATATTCAACGCCACAATATATGAATCATCTAGACTGGCATTACCTAAGATTCATATGTTCGAAAAGGGGATTCATTGCGAAATCTATTGGTTTGGGTATTATATGGTGATTATAGATACTTTATTCCAATCTCCAAGTTTCGAAGTCGTGAACTTGGGGAGGAACGATTGGTTGTTTGCTTCAAGCTAGGATTTATAGGCCGGTTATTGGTCGCAAGAAATGAATGGGGTAGTGACCATTCAAGAATCAATGCTCACTCACGTGTGTTGAGCTTTCTGTACAATTTATCTTTCTTTTTAGGGGATAGCGGAGTCTATGAAAGATTTACAGATGATGGGCTCTGGATAGTATTTAGTATAGTCCGCTCTACTAGTGGTAATTGGTGTAGATTTAGAAACCTTGCTACGTTAAATCCAGACCTGAACTGTCAGTGAAAGAACTCTTGAAGAAGTATATCATGAGAATTACAGGATTTTAGAACCATTCAATATTCAATCTGTTGATGGTACTCTATCGTTTACTAGCCCCGATTTTTCTATGATAACTTCCTGCTCATCGGTTCGTAGCTTCAGAAAGGGCGTTCCCCCAAAAGGTCGCTTAGTAGCTACAATATTGCTTCAAGGTCAAAACATAAGATAAAAATGAATCCACTATGGAAGAAAATAGACAGTATATAGTGTAGTAGTATGTATTCAATTGATGAACATGCAGAATGGAGATGAGACCTACTCTCTACATTCCCGCGAGTGAGGACCAGGACTTGATTCTGCAATGTAATCCCTTTCGCGGCGGCCATTTAAGCTTCATCATGAGTATTCGGAATTATCTACAGTCTCGCGAGAAGTGCAGTCAGTCAGCGATAGATTTGATACCTCAGATACTAGCTACTTAGTAACAAGTAACAGCAAAATCCACCATGATTACTTCAGGTACATCTCGATCAACCGAGTTTTGAGAACTCCATTCCAGAGCAAAACCATTTCACAAATTTCTAGTGATGAATTAATGAATGATGTCGAATTCTGTGGATATACTAATACGATAGAATTGAGTCTCAAAGAACCATACAACTTCACCATTTCATCGCGCTGCAATAAAGCTTCTGCATTAATTGGTAGTCTAGCACTGATGAAAATTACACATTGAAGAGCTGGCCCCATCTTTATGTTCCCCTGGCGAGATGGAATCCATAGATGATACATATTACACGCAGAAAGCAAGCAATCAAGTAGCTCCTCAAGAAACTACAAGGACACCATCATTCCCGCGCCACGAAATCATCGCACTCTCTCGCCATTATGATACCTATCGACATTAACAACAAGCACCTAGGTTATAGATATTCCTGCATTGCGTGATTCACAGATATTCACATATAGTATACCAATTTCAGCGAGATCAAGAATAATATGAAGGTTAGATATTTTGATTCTGTATATTGAACACTGGTCTGCATGTGCGGTTATGTGGTATACTATGATATCAGTTGAGCTCTGAATACATGGGTTAGTGAACTAACTATGAGATACGGAAATTTCGGTGAATGGGAACATGGGATTCGCTATCACTTGATGAGGAATTTGAAGTAGGAAAGCTAGATCTACTGGAATTTAAGAACTTTTGTATCACTCAAAGTTCATAGAATTATTATGTCTGATAGACGCTTCACAAATCCCTCGCAATGGAAATGGTCGCATGTTTGATATTTGTTGGGCAGAGAAGGGGATAAGATGGAAAAATAGGAGAATGGGAATAGATTGGAATGGAATTGGAAATTGGGTTCAACTTTGATTGTTCTGGTGGATATGTGGAGGAATTGTATGTATGCATGCTGGATTTATTGTTGTATGCGATTTTGTTGACAAGCATGATAGTTGAGAGTTGGACTTAGAGGCAGAGTAACTTATTATGAGTGACAGCATGGGTATGGAGAACATCGTTTTGTATGTTCCATCTCTTTCAATGGACAGTGATGAAAAGAAGTGTCTTGCGTGTTGGGCTCCTGGAACGTTGTTGTTCGCAAACTCAAGGATAATGACCCACACTAGATTTAATATCAAGAGCATAATAGTCCCAAGAGGAGGGATTTTGAAGTACTTTGCGGCAATTGCATTGTGTGGTCCGAGGTTTCCAGAGGGAATATTTGAGATACCTTTTCGTCTGGCTGGGTTTAGCACTGTGGTCAAAGTTTCTACAATTGGGGTAAAATAGCGTGATGACATCACCAGGATTCGAATAGGGAACAATCTCAAGGCAAAGAACATTCTTGTAGATGATCGTTGTGCAGAATCTATTGCACAAAACATCACTATGCATCTACCATATGAAATGTTCATCGCTGCAACTAGCAAATTATTAGTTTGACAAAGCTCTTTCTCTTGTAATGGAGTTAAACAAGAATTAGCACCAAATGTGATTGGATTTGCATGTACGTACAGCAGTACACGACCTGTCGGTTATAAAACCAATCATAACCCCAAAGTTCATTCTTTTCGTTCCTAATAGTCCTCGGACTATCACCCTCCTTCATTTGTTTACACTAGTAACCACACAAAGTGGCAATGGCATCATTACGATATCACTTAGGAACAATCGACTGAAAATTTAATCTACAGTATCGGGTGGCGGATGCAGGAGTACACTCTGGAAACTACCACATGCTCTTGAGAGATCGTTCGAAGATGTTTCCCAATTCGCGACTTCGTTTTTTCTCTTTTCTGATACTTCTGATCTCACAGTTCTGGGATAGTAAGCATGTCATTTTGTGCCATAAGAATTATTTCCATCAAACAAATGTATCTAAGAGAATACCAGTCTTCCTTTCTCGTCAGGGCTGTGAGCTATATATATATCTATTCACATGATCTAAGTTTGCTGCAAAAACACGTGTTTTGTGCTTGAGGTTGTTTGATAACAGCCTATGTCTTACCAAATGTTCGCAATTAACATCTGCACTTGCGGATGTATACTTAAGATCATTATGCAACGTTTGCCGAGCCTCATGTGATAATGAAGTCACTCCAATGGGAACTGAAGTAAGGGGAAAATAGGCATCTCACGAAGTATCGTGAACTGCTTCTCACAGGCGTGACAATTTCGTGTAGTTTGAATGCCATTCACCAGACCAATCGATATGGTGGCCATCAAACCTGTGCAAAGCATGTGACATGGATCTTGCCAGAGAGAAGGGTTGTAACGCGGAGAGGCTCTCACAAGAAATCCGTATAAGAACGTGAAAATTTCCTGTGAAAGTAGGTAATCATTAGTTTTCAGGCGCATTCCAGATCTGCCCCTTTCACTTATCCATTCTGATCCATTCATTCTCAAATTCTGCCTTGCTGAAAGTTTCGCGCACACAGATATCAAGATGCAGCAGTACGTACGAAATTGTGCCCTGTGCAATGGCGGAAAATCAGAACATCAAAGAACTGAACATTGTTTGTTGGATCCCGACATTAACCCTTACCGGAGATTTGACGCGGAGCGACAATGCGACTTCTGTAAAAGAGATCATGAGCCTCATCAATGCAAGGAAGCCAAGGCAAACGCTTGTGGTAACTGTGGTCATGGATGGCATGACAAGCGTGAATGTATGCTAGACCAGAGTTTTGACTCTCATCTTGAGCAATTCACTCTCCCTAAATACAAAACTGCAAGCCAGATTCAAAAAGCTAGACCAGAGTCTCGGAGAGAAGAGTGTAGAGATAATTACAATAAAAAATTCAAGAAAGGACGCTACGCGCAGTCCCTGCCGTCTGCGACATTGACATCTACTCCTTCGGAATCCGGCCCATCTGAGACTGGTACTTCGGTATCCCGTTCTATAGAGTCTCATCCTCTGGCACCTAGTCTCTCGGCACCTGGTCCCGTAGCATCTGGCTCAACCATAAGTTTGTCTGAAGCCAATGCGAGTCTGCCAAGCCAATCGAGTCATCCACGTCAGAAAAGCCAGGCCTCGGGTCAAACCCAAAGTCAAACTCAAGTTCAAGCTCCTGCAGGTGGCAGTGATGATGCAGAGACAGGAGAGAAGGACGAAGCGACCATCAGAAAGGAAAATCGCGAAAAGTGGACAAGTGCAAGTCTTGAGCTCCCTGGATACCCTCCAGAGAATCAGATTCCACCTATTAGTAACAACAACCCTAACGCCAAAACGAACTTCTTTCAAGTTAGTATTAATCCCAACCCCGTCGATCTCCGGAGATACCGCATCGAATTTGGAAAGACACCCAGCTATGACTCTGCGGGCAAAATCACCCACAGAAATGTATTTAAGCCTGACGTGAAGCGAACAACGATAGATCAGATGCTGACAGCAAATCCTCCAACTGCGACCGTTTATGCAACTGATTATTTCTGTTACATAATTTCGGTCGGAAGGCTTTACCACGAATGTGGGGATGATCTAAATAATATTATCAACAAAAGTCATTCAATAGCTTCTGCGGATTCGACTTTACCTGACTTGACCATGACTAATGGAATTGTTTACGAAAGTAATGTAAACCTTGCGGAATTGCAACGTTTCGTGAACCGTGATCCAGCAAGAAATCCCAATTACAATCCTGGTGAGGATCTTAAATCTTTAAACATCATATCTTGGCAAAGGATACATTTGAGTACCTTTCAGGGGGGTCGGTTAGGAAACAAGTTTTATCCAGATAGCATGGGAAATCACAACGTCGATGTTGTACCCCCAGGTTTCAGTCCAGAAAGCCAGAAGTACCCACTCTGGAACCTTCGCTCGGGATTTTTCAGTTCCATGCGCCCTGGGAGCGGGTGCTTGCTTCTGAATGTGAACTGCACAACCTCGGCATTCTTTCCAGATATTATCCTTGAGAATTGGATTTATGCCAAATTCGGAAATGGAATTCAGCCTACAGACGTGTTGAGGATGTTGAGAGGAGTCAAAGTTACTTTCATCGGAGATTCTAAGCGAAAGAAGCGGGCTATTTGTGGCATAGATCCTCTAACTGTCTCTCAAAAGATGTTTACTCCGACAGGCGGAAATCCCATATCCGTCTGGCAGCACATGTCCAATAGTAAGCTTAGCAATCCGATGTTACAGTGCTTCTCATATCTCATTGTCCAGACGTAGCTAATTCTCGTGATACTTAGCATATCCTAAACACCAGCAAGACTGTTCTCAAAATGCTTGGTGTGTCAATGTAGGTAGTAGCATTAACGGGGGTATGAAAATATGGTACCCAGCAGATATGCTCAGAATTTGCTTGTGGCAACCCGCTGGAAAAAAGGCCGGGGTAGAAATCACACAACAAATGCTGACGCAGGCAACGAAGACCCCTTATGAAAACCAAAGGGCTCTTATGGTCGATTCCAAACCCCATTTAGCCTTGGTGCCACCACCAGAATGTTACGTGGTAAGTTCATTCAGATTCAAGATAAGACTTAAACTAATCATAACAGCCGTTTGGCATTAGAGTTTCACCAGATCTTTTGCTTCTTAGCAGAGTTCGCCAACTAGCTCCACCTGAATTGAGGTTTCGAAACCCCAACCCTAATAACCAAGATCGTGTGCGAGGCGTGTATCCAAACCTGGCAACTTGGGCCCTAACTAAAGTTGCAATCAAAAGGCCCCAAGATACGTTGAAAGGATTTGACGTGGTTAGCAATGTTTATCCTAAGTTATTTGTCATCAACCTCACGCAGCATCGCAATGCAGTGACATTCATAGAAACTTTGATGGGCCAGTTGAGAAATTATGGTTTCAGCGCGCAAACCTACAGTATGGCGCCTGCCATTATAGATGCAGGTCTAAATGCAATGACTTCTCAATTGCGTCGCGCAAGTGTGACGACTATATTGAATGCAGTAGTCACTAGATGGGAACAACAATTCAATCTCACTGGTATCCCACTGATTATTGTTTTGTTGCCTAATTCAAAGAAGTCGAATCCTCGTCTGTACTCGGATGTCAAATGGTGGGGTGACTGTGTCCGAGGCATACCCACAGTGTGCATCAGTGAGGATGCTATCAGAAAGGGAGCGAAGAAGCAAGGTGGAGACATAAAGATTGATTTCAATCTCATGGCAAATATCGCGTGAGTTCATATGCTAGTAAGCGGAATTATCTGTTAACTAAGGCTGACCATATTTTTAGTCTTAAAATCAATTTCAAACTGGGAGGCAGAAGTCATCACGTACAGGATCTCGGAGTCGAAAATGGAACCATGATAATGGGCGCTGATGTTACACATGTTGGAAAAGGTCAAGATGATGGCTGTCCATCTCAAGCTGGCGTTGTTGCTACTCGGGATCAACACCACATTCACTATTTGGCTTCAGCACGTCTACAGACGCACAATACTGAGGTATGCATAAAATTTCTAAAACCAAAGACTTTCACTAACAAACGTGACTAGTTCATCGAGGATCTTGAGGGTATGGTCGAAGAGCGCTTAGAGGCGTACTATCAACGCAATCGCCGCCTCCCAAAACATATATTGTTCTACCGTGATGGAGTTGGCGAAACTCAATACGGAATGGTGCTCAGAGAAGAACTTCCTCAAGTTCGTGTAGCGTGTATGAGAATGGCCACCAAATATGATGGGAACTCGCCATTGATCACGCTTTTGGTAGTAGGAAAGCGTCATCATGCGAGATTCTTCCCTGAAATTCCGTTGAATGCACCAGCTAATGGCAGAAATCTCATCGCCGGCACAGTAGTCGACCGAAACGTCAATGATCCTAATCGTACAAACTTCTATCTACAGAGTCACGATAGCGCATTAGGAACCGCGAGAACGGGTCATTACGTGGTAATTGTCGATGAGTCTGCATATGGGCTTGACAGATTGGAGCGTGTTGTAAGTAATCACTTTGCGTTTATGCACCGCAATACTTTCATATCCTCCTGCAGCTACATTTTAGATACTAACGATTTCCTCATAGACGAACAATATCTGCTATACGGGATCTCGCGCTACGAAGGGTCTCTCGGTCTGTACACCAGCGAAATATGCAGATATCTTGTGCACACGCCTCCGCTGTTACATGTATCCTGCTTTGCACAGAGAAATGGGAACTACTCTAACTAATGCGACGGTCACTCAGTATCGACAGAATGCCACAATCTGGAACAGTACCGCTGGTAATCCATGGCATCCTAATGTCAAAAACATAATGTTTTATCTTTAAAAAATGGAACAACGAGAGCGGTGAAAGAATCATTGAGCCGCTGAGTTTTTGATTGGGAGTTTGGGAGTTTTGCGGGAGTTTGATGAGATTTCGGGCTGTTTTTTTGTTGTTTCTTTCTTTCTCTCCCCTTAATTCATTGTCATACTCGATCCTGTCTTGCGATTTTGTTCTTGGTTGTCGGAGTTTGGGAAACGGAAATTATGAAGAAGAAAAAAATGATCTGAGAATTTTGAATGGGAGTTTTGAGTTGGTGTTCAGGATCTGATTTGTTGCAAGTGTTTGGCTTTGGGATGGAGTATGGGGTTTGGTCTGCTTTTTGGGTGTTCAGTTTGGGGTTGATGGTTTGATCTGCTTTCAGATAGAGTCTGCTGAAGAACAGTCAATTGAAATGGCAGATATCCTTGCATATGGCCTTGCTAATATGATAGTCTCCGCGTATTCCGTGACTCATGTTATGATATCACCGCAATGAAGAACGTGAAGGGATCTTGCCACTTAGCAATGGCCGACTGGTGATGGATGAGCAATTCACCAGGCGTACTCTAGCTTGTCTCTAGTCTTCAATTTCAGGACCCGTTTATATCAAAATATTAACTTAGCTACTGAATTCGTACTTTTAACCTCATTCTTCTCTCTCAAAGAACGAGAATTTAAATTCCGCGGCTCCATCCATGTCACAAACGTCAGAATCATTGGAAATATCAATCTCATCGCTAACACAGAATTAAAAGTAAATGAGCAACAAGAGCGAGTATGCAAATATGTAAAGAAGAATTAAGATAAGTGAGCAAGTAATCAAACTGGGTATAACCACTCCACCATTCACCATTCCATCCCACCCCTTTCCTCTCTTCGCCCATAAATCCATTATTCGAATCGCTGTAAATTCTTTTCCCAGTTCAAGTCTAGCTCATTTGGGTCTCCACGACCAGTAAGATATCACCAGATCCCAGTCTATCTCCCAAAACCCGTGTAATATTCCTTCTCCCCGCTCTCTAAATCTTTCTTTGACTTCTTTCCCTTTCAAACGCCATCAACCAACAACAGTGCCCCATAGTATACCACCGCCAAACATAGCTGCCACACTAATAATGCTACTAACGCTCAATAAACTCATTCCACTAATACCATGTCCACTCGTACAACCGCCTGCTATGCGTGCACCGAGGACCATGGCTATGCCTCCTAGAAGGGCATGAATTATTGATATTTCTGGGATGGTGGGTGTGTCGAGGGATATTTTAGGGAGAGGGGAGGTAAGAGAAGATGGTAATGTAAAAGTGTGAGAAAGGATGTAGGAGCCGAGGAGGATACCGAGGGTAAAGAGGTTTGAGCGGATGGAGGGGCGTGGTCTTTGTTGAGTGATTTCGTGGTGTTTCGATACACCGCTCCCATTTCCATTTCCATTCTCATAAACCTTTTCAGAAACAACATCACCACCCCTCAACCTCTCCAACCCCCACCAGAATAAATCTCCAATCTGTTCATACGCAGCACTAGTCCCCAATGTGTTCCCCGTCAACCAAAGACTTGCTCCCTGCGCACACCCGATACCAATACCTCCCCACGTCGCACTCAACAAACTTTGTTCCTGAGAATTTGAAAGCCACGAAGCAAGAAGAATGATTCCCCAACAGAAATTTTGATAAACATAAACTGCTTTTAGCTCATCGGCTTTGGGGCCGAGTTTTTGATATAGTGTTGGCTTGGAATCGGGAACGATTGGACGAGTGCTGGGAGAACGGATGAAGGGACGGATGAAAGAATATATAATTCCGCCAAGAATTCCTCCGAGGAAGGCGTAACGTCCGGATGAATAACCGGTTACGATTTGAGGGAGAACGGTCCCGGGACAGGCACCTGTAAGTGCCATACCAGTACCGAGGAGAAGACCTCCGATGAGATTTCCATCGTAGGGAAATAAGGACAGGGAAGAGGGTTGCCGAGGAGGAGCGATAGTTGGTGAGAGACGATGAGCGATGAGGAATATCGCTCTATGTTGTGTTAGTGAAGCTATTCTATCAAAAGAGCTTTGGAATACATGGAAAAGAGAGGGAACTTACGCGCTAGTAGCACTTGCTGATAGAAATACTTTCAGCATATGAAAAGATTCCAACTTCATCTGCGATACAATCACAGTAGGAGAATAAACTCCTGCTGCAGTAAGTGCTGCACCAAAAAGTACACCACTTAATATTGATTTTGCTCCTGTTGTTGAAGAAATTGAAATCATGGCGAATTCGTTATTCCGGATCTCAATGTGAACCATCTTGAGAGAGAATATGGTTGGAAGTTGAAGTATATGTATATGGAACAGAGACGATCTTCATGAACTAAAATTTAAGTTCATTCAAGAAATTGAATCGTGTCTTTCATAGCGTCTTGAGTTTTGGTACTAGTATTTTGATATGTGGGAAGTAGCAACTTTGATACCTCGACCATGCTAGAAGGATTTGTCATAATCATATGAAGAAAATGATTCACTTCTTTAACTACCTAGGTAATAAGATACGATTGAACAATTCTTTGATCCATTCTTTATTCACTCAAATTTATCAAACTGAGGATGACCTCCACTTGCAAGAAACTTCGCAAGCTTTCCACAAATGTGAAAAAAATACTATGAAATAATGTACACCTTGTGCATGAAAATGACAGACCTATAACGGTACATGATCGCAAATTCATTACTTGATAGTACTTACGAGGTACATAGCTATCTTCCTACCTTCCTTTGTTTGATGAATTCTCCGTAGTCAGATTGGTTCTCTCACCGGTATTTTGAAAGTATTCATCCATGAAAGGGAGGAAGCCAGCCCCATCTAAAAAAAAAATTGAGGTCGCCGATTATATTTCCCCCTAACAAAGAAGCCCGTGTGGTGGACTATTTTTCTAAAGAACTCAAAAATCCTTCCAGAAACTTTCCATTGCTAGAGTGAAGTTAATTATGGAACTTCTCGAAAATATAGAGAGTTTCAAAGTAGTATAAAGGAAAGTAGAGACGAGAGTTACTTTTTTCTTGAGAGATCGTTGCATATTAGTGAGATTCCCGAGATCTCTCGGGAAATAGATAGCCGGGTCTGAGGTCCCCGAGTAAGCGACTATGACACCCAAGAATCCTTACTTGTCGGCGAGGATGCTACTGCACCATTTTACTGCCTTTATAATTTGCGGGGATGCGGGAATTTGATTTAGGATGATGCCCGATAGGTATTTAGGGAAAGGAGGTACGGGTCGGAGGGAATATGGTTACAATCCTATGAAATGAGGAATGTCTTGCCCTATGCAGATTAAATGAACTCACCTTGGCTCTCCTGTCATATACGGATATGTTGATTGATGGATTGAATGATATGGTGATGGGTAGGATGGGTACGAGGATACATGAAAAGTGTACTTGAGCAATGTAACTTTCGCATGTTGACTAGGAAGTGAAGCGTGGCTTCGGAGATTCGGGGACTTGCAAGATGGAATGTTTCGTATAATGGACATTCGTAAAGAAGCTTTAGAATGATTAGAATCGGTGAGTGGTGCATTTGTGAAACTTCCGCCGTATAGCAAAGTTTGTCGTATATATCTGTTCGCCGGTTTGCGAGCTTGAGTTTCTATAAGGATGATGGAAAGGCTTTAGAATGATTAGAATCGGTGAACTGTGGATTGTACTACCCCGGTTGTACATCCGATGGGTGGCTGCTACCTTCGTTGACTTGCGAAGCTTGTGGAAGCCTCAGCATTGATAGATATATGATCAGTCAATTTTTGAGTATCAAATGAAGACTGTAAATACATTTGAGTTGACGAAACCATTCTGTTATGCATCAATAACTACGCCGCGGTGACCATAGATTACGCATTATCGAACCAGGCTCTTGGCTAGAATTATGAGGAAGAGGCCAATGAAGGGGGTTTGATGATGGAGTACCAGATGTATTTTCGAAGATATTTCAAAAAAAAAAAAAAAAAAAAAAAAAAAAAGCTACATGCACACAGAATATGCAATGCAAAGGTACGAGGAAGATGATGCGAGATTGAGAAAATTGGTTTTGCGGGAGAGTTTGCTTGTCTTCTTCTCGACAATAGAATAGCTTCTCAACTTTACCCCTTCATCAATCGGTAAATTCACGGATCCTCCCAGATGGCTCAACTGGGGTATTGTATGTTGATATCCCCTCTCACATCCTCATATAAATCTCAAGGCTCTCTCAAGGTGTCAGTGAGATGTCGAAACTCTTGTACTCGTTCGTATATGTTCGTACATGTTCGTACCATCAATTAATACTGCATCCCCGCCACTGTCATCATCCAAAAATAAATCCTTGTCCCCACACACCTTGCACAAATCCTCCTCATAAATTGCCCCTCCCGAAAAAATCCCGATAAGCACTCCCGTGCCCCTCATTCTCATCATGCCACTTCCATAATCAATCCCCACACTCCCCACCGTCCACCATTGTCCATCTCCCGACTTCCTTTCCGACTTCGGGTTATGGTACGCATGAATTGCTTTTCTTGCTTCGTATATCTCTACCTTTGAACATCTTTTGAATTCATCACATTGACTTTCAACATACAAACATACACACGCATTTTATACCCTCTTCTTTCATACAACACACATTCAAAATGGCACCAAAAGGACCCTACAAGCTCGTTACAGTTAACAAAGTCCCAGCTCGGGCAAAGATCTTGATTGGAAGAGTGGTCGAGGATGTTAAGGAGAACTATACCATTGAATATGTCAAAAACGCTGAACGTGAGTTTGATCCATGGTCTCTTCTTTCCCTATTCTGGTTTTTGCTATTGGCTTCGGACTTGGGGGTGGTGTTGTGATACTAGAGAGGGACAACAGGGCATATGGAATCGCAAAGGGAAGATGATATGGAATTTTGTAACTCTGGCATGACTTTGAGCGGGTAGTCCCCTCTGTCAAATAGCCAATAATCATTCGCTACATAGGTGAAGTCTCAATGGCTCCAAATCCACAAGTATCATGAATGAAATCTTCATTTACTTCATGTTTGAATCTGCAAGCAATCGACGGCTCAGAATAAAAATGAAGCACGTGAAGAAATTAATAGCTAAACCGGGGGACTGAGCAATGATACTAACTACCTCATAGGAATGGAAGATGTAAAAGCCATGGTTGAAGAGCAACAACCAGATGTCTTAGTACGTATCGATTCTCTCATTTTCTCCATAACTCTTAAACTCCCTTACCACCTACACCCTCCATCTCTTTAGCCTCCCCCTTCTCCCGAGTTTCTTCCCCAACCCCCACTGACACTCCCCAAGTTCGTAGCCTCGATGTGGACCACCGAAGAAGCAAACGAAATCCAAGAAATCGCCAAATCCACCAAGCCAGGTATCAAAACCATGGCCATCCCACACGGATTACAAATCGAAAAGGGCCCTGATGCTGTTGTCGAGTTTTTGAAGGAGCAGTGGCCGGGACTCGTTGATAGTGAGTTATTATTTTCATTTTCACCGGATTTGATAATGGTAAAGCTAACTTTTCGTAGACTAGAAAAGAATGATGAAGTATAGTAGGATAAAAGAAGAAGGCGGAAATAGATACATGTATAGATGCATTCATGTATGAATATTTGATAATACCCATAGAGAAATCAAAGTATAAAAATAATCACAATATCTACCTAGGTAGTATTGAAGTATCATGTATAAGAAGGGGAAATATTATTGTGCCATAGTAGGCACATCATATATAGAATCAAAACCCACTCACTGTATTTGCTCAGCCGAGTTATGAAGAAATCCAAAAGCAAGAATATCAAGTCGTATATCGTCCCTTCATCCCATTTATACATATTGTTACCCATCCTGTCTATTAATCTCACCATTACACCCCCTCTTCTTCTCTATCCTCACGAAATCTCAACCATTCTATGAAATCTCTCGATATATCCACCACATCATCACATCCTCTCCCCCATGCCAACCTCCATCTAATCCCTCTTCTCCTCATAACCCCCTACCCCCCTTTCTCTTTCCCCACTCGCCTCCCTCGCATACCCATTAGCCATCAGCACAAAAATCGTCACCAACAACGTCATAAACGCAATCGCGATGAGCAATTCTTTCTTGCGCTGCAACTTTCTATCTGATGAGTTTGTGGAGGAGGTGAAACGCACGCAGCAGTTATTGTGGCCTTCAGATTTTAAGTTATTGTATAAGAGATATGGAACAGGAGAGGGGATAGAGGAGAGACTTACCATTCATGACTAATGCTTCCTCCATATCTCTCGATGCATCGGTAAATACAACGCAGCAATTCTGTCCGTTTCCTTGGATTTCACCTCCTGCATTGATACCTGTACCAGCGGCTCTTAATCTGCGGAGTTCTTCATTTTCCAACTGCGTTGTATCGTTAGCTTGATTTTTTGATATTTTGTTCTTCTCATCCTGCATCATCATCTCCTCTAAGGGTAGGAAATTATAAGAAAGAAGAACTAACAAGCAACCTCCCAATACTCTCCTCCAACCTCTCCATTCTCCTCTCCAATCCCTTTACCATCAATAATCCCCCCGTCCCCTCTCTATCTTCCCCTGATTCATCACCTCCAGAAGTAGTAGTCGCTACGCCCCAAAGTTCCACTCCACTTCCTCCGCTTACACCACTAGCCCCACTGACATTACTAGCCAGTGTCCTCGTACTTGGCGTTGGGCGAGGAGTACTAGAGCGGGAATGAAAAGATGGTGGTGCGGAGTCTGAATAATTCGTAGTATATGAATTGTTGAAAGGAGGGAATGGTGTAGTCCCTGCTCCGCTTGCTCCTCCTATCGCGTTTCCATATGTGTTGCTAGAGGTGAATTGTGAAGAGCCTTGACTATTCAGATGCGCAACCTGACTGCTGTGAAAGCTAGGCGGTGGGGTACGGGATGAGATACTAGTGATGGATGTTCGATGGCTTGAAAGGGCGGATGAGGGAACAGATGTAGGAGTGCCGGAGTTGTAGTTGTAGGAGGGGCTATTGTGAAAGATTGGGTCGAGGAGAATCGGAGGATTTGAGGAGGGAGATGAGGTGCGGGGGAGCTAGATGAGGGGTGGTCAGTTGATTGGTGGGCTTCGCTTTGGGAGTGAGGCAGAGAATAGGATGAGATATAAATGGGTATGAAGTATAGAACGTAAGGTGTAGTGCCTTGCGGAGGTAACGAAAAGGTGGAGAAAAGTGGCTAAACATGAGAATAACAAAAGCAAGGCGAGGAATAGCAATATTCACCAATACATAAACGACAGCCTCCTCTATCTACTAGACACTCGGTGCATACATAGCAACTCCAATCAAGCATCACGAAGCACAATACAGAAGTAAAAGTTTCCAATCCTCAATCTCCAATCTCCAGATCCCTCCGAGTTACGCAACCCTCATCCCCTTCCATTGCGCATTGCAATTCTAGTCCCAATCAAACCAAAGAAGAAAAAAAACTCACAGCTTCATAACGCGAGCGATTCATCTTCGACACTTCCGGGACTCCCGACCTAGAATCTCTTCCGTATACCCAAACTCTAATTCTATCCGCGTACCTGTACCTGAAAGGTGTGGATCAAAACCAAACCGTTTGCAAATAGACTTGACAGGAACCAGAAAGCGTACGTATTTCCTTCCGCGTATTTCAATCGACAAACTATGAAAATGAACAAAAAAATTCCAAATTTTAAGATCTCACTTCTTTCTGCCTAGAACTCAAGGGAAAACCGCAGCTATAATAAAAGAAATCCTCTCTCATGAAATTTCGCCGCGTCATCCAAACTCGGCTCGCAAGCTTGGGACACTGCCACAATAATGGGACGGAATGTTATTTGCTCGTGAACGATGATGGATTGCGATAAGACTTATTAGACTTGCATATGCGGGGTCCAGATTTCTGCCACTTGACGAATTGAGGAATTCTGATTGGTTAGTTCATAGCCCCGTAGGGCTTGCAAATCATGTGACGAATGGGACTTTCTAGGCAGAAGCATTTAGACTTGATCTAACATTCAAGTCTCATCGTCAAGCTTCTAGTATGAATATGAACGATGTGTGTAAATTTGTTTCAAAAGATAGAATTGTATTGACGTAGCTAAAGATTTCAGTGTTAAAGATGCCATATCTGCAATGATTAGTTCTTTCTAAATGTTAGTCTGCGCTCTTCTAGATCAGCAATAATACACAGTAAGTAGTATGACAGCAATGATAGCAAGATCCTCAAATATCCATATCAGGCCATCCCCTCTCACAAGTTAGCAATAGTAGCAGTCGTCTTTACATTGACTTCCTCTTCGCGCTCTCCACAAACAATTCTCTTCGTCCATCTTATCTCTTCCCAATCCGTCACTCTCACATTGATGATATGCAACAGCCAAGAACCATTTTTTACGTCCTTCTTAACTCTGCCCAGACATCTTGCCATCAAAGATTCGCTTGATTCGATGAAAGTTCTACTTTCACTCTCCGCCAGTCCCGTCGTCTTAAAGTTCGCGAGAATACCCTTAGCAAATGGTGGTCGATCATGAAATAAGTCTGCAAATTGAAAGTGCTGTTTAGTAGTACCAGGTTCTCGAGATGAGAAATTGACACGGGCAAAGAGCTCGATAATTGCATCTTGACCTAACGCATTGCATCGACCTCCTTCTTTAAGCATCTCACCAATCCGGAAACAAACACGAAGAATGGTTTGGGACGATAATCCATTGATTGGGCATCGATCTTGAACTATTTGGGGAAATTTCGGCCGAGCAAACGGTGTGAGGGGTAGATAATCATCACTATCATCCAGCCACGGTTCCGATATGTTGGTTTGAATCGATTGAACAGGTGTAGACAATTTCTCTAGACGTCTGTTTTTCAATAGTTGGATAAGAGCCTCAGAAGATTGAATGACTGGACCTTTGACCGACCTCAAAGTCGTCGATGTAATATACCTCCAATCTGCATCTTCCTGTGTCGCTGGTGGTTTCGATGGACTAGATTTATCAGTGGATTTGACCAGCGCTATTCCGTTAGAAAATGGTTCTCGGGGCGTTGGTGAAGAGAATTGAAGAGTATCATCATATACTTCCCTGTCAGTATCATCACCGTCACGCGGAAGGGTTAAACTTGGTGGTGGTTCAAATGATTCTACAACTCCTTGAAATTGACTTGTTCCTGCGAGTCGAAACAATTCTTCTTCCAAATCAGTATCCATTGGAAAATCGTCAACCTCATCTGCAACGATGGGTGGAGATGTAGCGCGAGTGACTTCTTGCGAAAGAGTGACGGGATCATGTAATTGTGTTTTCCTCGTGCGTAAAGAAGAAACAATATGTGAAATGGAAGGTGAACATGGTTGCTTTGGAATGCTTTGGATCACTTCGTCTCTCATGGGAGATTCGAGAATAGCAGGATCTGCATCCAATGCTAACAAATCTTCATCATCAATGTCATCGCCAAAGCTATCGCTGTCAAAACAATCTAGGGGAGGATTTATGATCGTTAGCATGCCTTCTTCAATGACTGGTAGCTCAGAATGATTGTCGTTGTGATAAGTTTCGGCACTGATTGTTGGCAAAAGTACCAGTGACTGTTGATAATTCTGTGGTTGTTCTTGCTCGAATCCTGTGTTGGGCAGCCGATCATTAACTTCTGGAAGATGTTTATTGTATTCTGGCAACTCGGAAGTCATATCTCCAAGCTCAGTGGTCACACTGCTGTCAATTGTTGGCGGAACTAGTTGCGATTGCTGCCTGTCAACATCATTATTGGTGGGGTTTTCAAGAGCATCCTCCGGTATTCCTTCACCAAAGGCGGAAGACCCAATGGTTTGGTTTAGCGAGTGCTCAATTTGGAATACCTTCTGCTGCGTGACAGAGGCCAATAGATTTTCAGAAAAGGGATTGGTTTGAAGTTGGTTAATACGAATAGTGTCAGGCTCGTTGCTATCGACAGATTGTTTTGAGATCCACAAAGCTTCTTCGAAAAATGAGCCACTTGATATATGCCCATAGTCTGATGAGGTATGATTTGACTCTTCAAAAACATATCCATCACGATGCTTACCCATGGTAAGATGAGTGTCGTCTCTTTTGCTCGCAGTGATCGATTGATTCGCCAATACATTCTCCTCGCGAGGTACATATCTAAAAGCTGCTAATTTCTGTAAAGTTGTGTTCGCGATTCCATTCGAATTACGCTTCATCTGTTCCTCAGTTGTCGTGAAACCTTGTAGCCGATTGATGGGTTGTGATTGCTCTCTCGAAGACTTTGAGGTGAAGCAAGACAATGATGGTTTGGTAACTGTTGAGTTCTGAAACAACTCTGAAGATTTCTTCCGCTTGGTAACTGTGGCAGAAAGCGCTCTCTTCTTAGATCTCTTATGAGTATCAGGTGGTGTAACCAATTGAGAAACAGAAGGCCCGTCGCCTAATTTGTTGGGTGGTTGCTCAAGTTCTTGATGAGCAGGTATTGTTTTTACTCTAGAAGGGACCTTGAATGCGGGTTGCGATCCTTTCGTAAGAATTTTCCTTCTCTTCGGCGATGCTACCTCAAATAGTTCAGTATCACAATCTTCAACGTTAGTATTTGTATGCGATTTGGCATTGGGTAAGATTTTCGTGGGGCCATTCTTCGAGCGTGGAGTTCGTCGCTTTTTACCACCTGAAGTGGGAGGACTCGGGACGTCCTCTGGTAGGTCGTAGACATCTGTGTTGCGCAAAGTTCTCAATGGATCGATTGTGCGTGTCAAAGGTGATATTGGGTTTAAACTTTTTGAACGGTTAAAATTGATTGGAGTGAAGGATAAATATGGGCGCATTGCTGTTTCTGGCGCACTGTTTGTTGATAAAGTGTTAGCATGACAGGATTGAAATATGACAAAATCCAGACAAACATATGTGACAGATTTTCTTGACTTTCTCCTTCTCCTCTCAACTCCTCTTGATTCAAGCCTTGATACTGCGCCATCTTGACCATATTTCAATTCATCAGCAACTCTCCCTCAATCCATCACTTGTTGCACCACCCCCGACATGCCCCTCCTTTATCAATCTCCCCTCTGCTTTACGTCATCAATTGAAAATTGGCGAACGACTGAACTGAGTATTGATATATCGAGTTCAGACGGTAAGATAGATGTCTCGCGAACCACGGGTAAGAACTAACAATTGATACTGTGTAGTTGAAAGTTGCCGATAGACGTCCTGGAGATTGAAGTTTGACTAAGAGAAGCTCCAAAACGGGTGTATAGAGCCTAAGGCTCATATGCCATTAAAGTGGGTACCTCGGACACTAAAGAGCCGTCCCGCCCCGCTTTACTAGTCTTCTTTCAATCCCTCTACACACTCCGTACATCACATGCTTCACTTAAAACATAACCAAAACCAAAACCAAGAAATACTTTGACTTCGTCTGAGTAATCTAAATCAGCAACTCACTCAATATTCATACTTACTGGCTCACTACTTGTCGTCGACTCATTATTGAATGTCTTAACTTCACTAATATCGATATACTGTACTAGATACACTAGCTACTTCTGTACAGAGAGAGGAAATCAGTCAGATATCACCAAAAAAAAAACATTCACAGATCATCCAACCCAAACCCAAATCCCCCCTCCCCCCACCTTCCACTTTAAGACGTGGCAGGAGAGCATTTGACATTAAAATCTGATAACTTCCTTCCTCGACAACTCACACTACATACATTTTGAATCTCATCAAATCATTACAGACTGCATCCACTTATTCTTGGTTATCCCGATATATTTGTTCGTCCTTCCTGCACTCGTACTATTGGTCTCTTGTTAGACATTCCGGAAGAAGCTTGTAGCGAAGCCAATCCCTTTCCTAGTCAAGGCTCCTGAGATTCGGGTAGGCAAATATGTTCTCTTCGGTCAGTACTCCATAGCCATTCTCTACTCTTGATTCTTGACTTTCTTCACTCCTCTTATTTACTCCGGAATTGCCCCATTCTTAACAACTCACATCACGAGATTATGGAGACATATTCGTGATTTGTGAGATTTATGACTGATGTCCTCCTGTCATGGCGAGCATGGTAGTAGGTCTGCCAAGAGAAAACTTCAACGTCGCCATGCAAGATCTTACACTGCATCATACATTCCTTCAGAACCTCACTCCGACTATTTCCATAGAGGTCATGTGGGAAATCTTCTTTTTGGCAGACAGAAAACAACAAAGACAGAAGAACTAATATATGTTCGTCGTAAACAGAAGAAACCATATTCAGCAGTTACCGTCGCTATCGAGCGTCTCACTAGTGAAGAAAACGAGGACGATGCCTATGGCGGTATTCCAGAGTTGGTAGATGTTATCAAACTTCAAGCTACCGGCCCTAGAGAAGCCACTCGAGCTCTTCGAAAAAAGCTCAAATATGGTAACGTACAACGTCAGCTTCGAGCTTTGGAAATTTTGGATGGCCTTGTTCAGAATGCCGGCCCAAAGTTTGAACATGTTTTTGCCTCCGATGATGCTTTTCTCGAACGTCTACGTGTCTGTGGTGTTTCAAGCACTTCAGACCCTGCAGTGAAAGCTAAGTGCAGGGAGCTATTTCGAGGCTGGGCAATTAAATATAAGAAAGTTTCTGGAATGGAAGACGTCGTCAATCTCCTTCATGTATGTATCATATGGATGTTGTAATATCACTTACTAACGCACTTCAAGGCACTGCCTGATACAAGGAAGGTTGTCACGCAAGATAGATCGAAAGTTCTCCGTGAAACAGAGGAAAATCCCTTCCAGGATGACGAGATTGAAGAGCCATCTACACCTGTTTCTTCTAAACCAGGTCCCTCTAAAGCTGGACCTTCTCACTCAAGACAAAGCTCATTAACAACTGCATCTGCTAGTACCAGAGAGCGGGCATCCTCAATTATGTCTGGATCTGCTAAGAAGGTCAAGAAAGATGATAAGAAAGACAAGAAGAAGAAACACAAGCCTTTCAACCTAGAAGCCGAGAAAGAAGCAATGAAGGCTGCTATCGCGGAATCAACTGTTGCATCTACCAATCTCTTGAACGCATTGAGACATATCGATCGAGAGAAAGAGCGAATTTCTGAAAACAAGACAGCCTCGCAGTATTTTGATGCCTGTAAACTGCTACGAAGGAAGATTCTTCGATATGTAAGTTTGAATTCAAGATCAGTGTGTCCAGTAGACCATACCAGTAGACTAGATGTAGACTCCAATGATCCAATTGTATTGGAATATTGAATCTCTCTGATTGTCAGACTGCAGTCCGCACTGTGGTACTACCTGGTTAATACATACTTGAATTTGCTAACCGTTTTCTCAGATCCAACACGTAGAGGCCGAGGAATGGCTTGGAGGGCTTCTTCACGCAAATGATGGATTGGTCAACGCCTTAATGACGTTTGAACAATTGGATAGATCGATAGACGCAGACAGTGACTCTGACGACGAAATGGCCGAACAAGCTCATCTCTTCAAAAGTATGTGTATTTATCCTCAAGATTACCTTCGATTTTCGAGAATAATTAAAACATTGAAATGTCGTATTTAAGTACGTACTAATACCATACAGTGGCGGAAATCAATAATGCAGAACGTAAGGCAGGACGTAGAGCTAGTGATTCAACAACACAACAATTACATGATCTTACACTCGGTACAGGCCCACTTACAGGCCCACATAGTCCAACTAAACCGGCTCATCGTCCTGCACCACCTACTCCCGTTCAAACGACTCACCCGAGAGCACAGGAATCGGAGGACGAAGAAGATGAGGAGGATGAAAATGACCCGTTTGCTGATCGCAATGCTCTTGATTGAGCGTAGGTTTTGGATGCTTTGTTCCCGCGGAAGACTACCGTCTGGGGTGATGGATTGTGGTGCATTGGATGATGTGGATTGGTTGATTTGGATTGGCCGTTTTGGAAGCAAATGGGAGTTGTTTTATTGGTAAATCATAGCATGGATGGAGGAATATCGTTTGAAGCGGTGCAGTGCTGTGCAGTGAGGTGTGAAGCTTGGCGGTGATGAACTGAGGCCGAAAGAGTTATGGATAATGAATGAATAGATGGGGAATAGGATAATCAATTGCGAAAGTGTACTAAAGGCATAGTTTAGGATCATGATCAAGTTTTACTACTCTGCAAATTGAATCTCTATCTTCGGTGACTGAAAGACTCACCAACAATTCTCAACGTCTGTGGAAAACTCTGGAGCTTTTGCATGAAGACTTTGGGATACACGAGGTGTATACTCATACCAAGACTTCCGATTTCCCATTAAGAGAGACTATGGTAGTATATACTAGGTATGCACTTCAAGAGTAAGCAATGGAATTTGATATTCATTGTTGTAGATGAAGTTGGAGTAAAATCTGCCAAGCGGGGTCGTGCTATTTGGGAGTTAATATCCAATAAATAGGATGTACAATGAACACATTATGAGTTCCAGTGGAGCATGTACTATAATTCTCCCTTCCAGCCGATATTTAGATGAATCAGCAATGTAGAATCTATTCTAATTCGTCGCCGTGACTTCGAATAGGTTCCGAAACTTAATTTCTGGTTGCAGCTCATCCAGTGTACAAGTTCGACATGAGAAAACTACAGTATGTCATTATCATTGTTTGGAATGCGCGACCAGCAATCTCTTATGGTTTTTGATGAAAGAGCATACAGGTCATTCATGCAAGATATGAATTTATGATATCAACAGTAAAATGAGAATCGACCTCTCGATCATATTCAGAGTTACGCATTTCTTGTTGAGCTTTCTCGTTTGCTGTCTATCTCATATTTCTAATTTCGTAATAACCAATGGTTTGGAGATTGGCTGGAATAATACTAATAGTATAGGTTTGCACATTTGACAACCCCAGTATGAGCTATGTTCATTTACTTCGTTCTTTTTGGCATCTTCCTCCCTCGAAGTTGTTATGCTATACCTAGCCACAGAGATGTTTAAAAGAGTTGTTATTCATGACTGCCAGACTCAAGCGACCTTGACTTCTTCCGGATGATGCCCCTTCACTGTCGGAGCTCGATTCTAAAAAACTGCTTTTGTCAATCCCTCCTTTCTCATACTGAGTCCACTCATACTCATACTTAGATTCTGTTGCTTGAAAGGTTCATTCCGACCTATTCCAAAAGAAAACGTGTTCTGGTGGTGTATTGGCATCCTATTTCATACCTTTACATGATTGGGCATAGAAATGAGGTATTTCACACCCAAAGTACCGCGCTCTAAAGGCTACTGCCTAGATACTAGGTATTGTAGCAACTAAATATCTCAGACCCTTCTTCGCCAACAGCACCCTTGTCTATTTGATCCCGTGATGGTATTTCCAACTCCATCAATTGCTCTTCCCTCAATCAAACTTATTAAAAGGACAAAGTTGGTTCCTGAGATCCATGATAGAGGAACAAGTGTACGTCACACTCATCCAGCCCTTTCTCCACCATGATACACAATGGGCACGGGACTTCCACCTAAGCCGGAACCCGGATAAGTTGTCCAATCAGATCTTACAGGGTTGTGGAAATACCTGGTCCTCCATGCATATAGGGTCAGCCTTATAGGTTGGACTTACGACTTGGGATGCCGTTCGAGCCTTTTTGATGATAGGATATTCGCCGAGTAGGTAATCATGGCACAAGATTCCTCAGTTGGAAATGATTAAATACTTCGATGCTCGCCGCGAAGAATGAAGGTGGAATGTGTGCAATCTTACTTGTATTCATTCCGAGGAACTTTGACAAATGAAACGTGTCGGATTCCAAGAACGATAATACATAGATAACGATATCTGCAGGATTCCAAGAAAAAGAGTTCTGACATTACTTTTTGTATACTTATTCGTTTTGAGGTGTGGTGGGGCCTGAGTGAACGCCTCTTTCGATAAGTGACCTATCAACTGTTCCAAACCGAGTGAGCAACTCAACCGCATATAAACCAATATCCCTTCATTAGCAA